TGTCCGTCTCGTCTGCAGTTGAATAATTTTTACTTCGATTTATTTACAGTTTTTTTCCCCCGATGCGACTTAATTTCACTTGTTTTTTTAATTCTTGGTAATTAGTGTCACTGGCGATGAAGTAGTAAAAACGCAATTAATCGCAGTGCAGCAACTCGGGATAGACCATCCCGACGCAATGAGCAAATTATTACTACCCTAGTATTTTGGGTTTGCCTGCTCCGCACCCTTGATAGACTTGGTAACTTCTGGTAGACTTCCGTTTTTATCACTGTTTTTGTAAGGCTAACTATGTACAAAGGCGAGATTACCTTTCGATCAATACATGTTATTGTTTTAAAGATGTGCTAGACGAGGCTGACACTTGTAAACAATACAACGTGAATAAGCATCGCGGGCAGGATTTCAAGGATCGCGGGCGAAACAAAAGCGACGCGGCTGTTTGTCTAAGCGACGCGGGCCCGCAGTGCTTGAAAGGCCTGGGGAGAACACTGCATACATGTGTTTATTATTCCATTGACAACATTGTGTGGTTGTTTGGCGATATTTCATTTAAAAGTACAAATTTAAACGAAAAGTTGTGACATATACAACACTAATCTTTTGTACAATAGCTGTTGAGCAACAGGCCATTGGCCTATTTTTGAAGACTATCATATCCTGCTTTATCTGACAAATTTTCATCTATTACAGGTCTGGAAGAATAACATGGATAAAGCAAGTGAGCCTGCCATCAAATCGTTTGATGGTAAAGATTTTACTGAAGTCAGTTTCCAGCCTGATCTCTCCAAATTTAAAATGGAAAAACTTGACAAAGATACAGTTGCACTGCTTACAAGACGTGCCTATGACATTGCTGGCATTAACAAAGGTGTGAAGGTGTATTTAAATGGAAAACGGCTGCCGGTAAGTTCCATGTATTGCTCAATAGGCATCATGGCCATTATTCAAAATATAATTTGAAGAATGATATTGGAGCCAACTTACAATGGGCATTTGTAGTCTCAAAATTTTGCAAATCTACTTTTAAAGGTTATACTTTATTTTTGCTATGAATTTTCGCTGAAGAAATAATTCAGTGAAAATAAAATCCAGCAAATGTGCCTTTTTTTCTCCCATAATTTATATTCAAGTTGTAAGGAATCTGAAAATAAAATTCCATGAAAAAAACACCCAAAAATTTGATTCAGTGAAAATTAATTCCAGGTAAAATAAAGTATTTTGCAGTATTATGCATCCCGAAATCCTCATTGCATCTAGTGTTACACAAGTTGTTTTTTTCACGTCTGATAATGATTAGCGTGCATATCACCACATGTGTGGCTGTAAATGATATACACTATGGTTATGTTATGTGATAATAATGATAGAATGAAGCAGATGAACTTTAGTAATGTCTTTCCAAACTTTCCTTGCTTGCCTGCAGGTGAAGTCATTCAAAGACTATGTTGACTTGTACGTAAAGGATAAAACTGATGAAAACGATCAGCCATTAAAAGTGGTCCATGAGATTTGCAACGAGCGCTGGGAAGTGTGTATCACATTGAGTGAAAAGGGGTTCAACCAAGTTAGCTTTGTAAATAGTATTGCTACAACCAAGGTAAGATATACTTGGGTCGGAGTGGAAAGTATAACTGAGCTTGAATCAACAAAAATGTATTTGAAGGCACATTTAAAGGCAAACATTTAAAGGCAAACATTTATTGGTGATTTGGGATGGAAGTAAATACAAATGACCAACATTTTAATCTTCATTACATGAATTTTCAGTTTCTTTGGAGGCTGAAAAACAAAACAAAAAAACATTACTCCAGGCTACTAATTGTTCACAATCAATCGTAGTAGTCTGTGTGCATTAGGCTACTGATATTGAGTCCTGGGAAGTGAAGGCAATGTATGGTATGTGTAACATGCTGAATATTTACAGTACCTAAGCAAACTGACATTGATGGTTATCTTAAACCTCTATCACCAGATATTGTCTTTTAAAATCAGTGCTAGACTAGTACCAAAAGATTCTTACATTTGTAATTTGCATTGGCAGGGTGGCCGTCATGTTGACTACGTTGTAGATCGCATTGTGGAAAAAGTCATTGATGTCGTGAAGAAAAAGAATAAAGGCGGTATCAACATCAGACCTTTTCAGGTGAGCAGATTAAATATTCTATCAGCAAACTTGTTATTTACGCGTAATGCAGGTTGTCAACAAATGAAAATAAGGTTGAAAATGACACTCTTGATGTGGTTGAGACGTAGGATGATTCTCCTATGCAATGTACCTTATCCCTATATCATTTCATAGTAGTGCTCTGACTTTCGCGTTCTGTGTTCCTCCATATATTTGGCAGCAAGCATCTTAGTTTAAAAGCTGCATGTTAAAAATAATAATTTTACGAAAGAAAGGAAAAAAACAAATCGCAACATTTTAGTGTCAGAAATAAATTTTATATATTTATTTGTTTTATTTATCTTGAGTAATTTGTATTTACGGTGAAGGCAAATGGGCCTTGCTGTCTCTATTTAAAAATCAGGTTTTTGGCAAATTTGACAATTAATTATGAGTGGGGGTCAGTGATTGTCACTGCGATACCGGATACGCTTACAAGACAAGTAACTTTAGTACAGTATCACCACTGTCTGTTTAGATGACAACTTACAGCAAGTCTCAGAAGTATTGGGGCAGCCAATTTGCAAATTCACTAGCGAATTGGCTAACTGCTTTGGTTTTGACTGAACGGTTGGCTTTCGAATCTCGCTGGCGCCGTCCTGTGGTCACGCCCACTCTGGATGAATCTATATTACAGTTGGGGTCGGCCGATTTCTCCCTGATTATAGGAAACTATTT